AGGTGAAGTCCATCCATGCGGACAGGGGAATTCTGGGAGGTGAAGTCCATCCATGCGGACAGGGGAATTCTGGGAAGTAAATTCACTCATGCTGACTGAGGAATTTTGGGAGCTGAAGTTCCCACATCTTAAAGTTGCCAAGGTTGAGAAACACTGGGGAGTACACTTCATGCTGGAATCACGATGCGTGACAAATCCCATCATAGCGATGTGTCATCTTTATATAACGGAGGCTTTTGCCGTCATTCTGAGCGTCTTCCCCTTCCTGCTACCCATAAAGTGCGTGGTGCCGTTTGCCTCTTTAAAAAAAAAAAAAAAAATTAAGGAAATAGCAACGCAATCACAACATGCAAAGTTGCCTGAGTGTGAAGGAACTGGGACCAAAATTTTGTTAGGTTTTTGGTATCCTGCAGATGTTAGATTGGTAATGAAATGCCTGCAAGAAAAACACACAGCGCGGAGAACTCCTAGAACCCAATAATAATTCTTAAGTAATTTCTCTACTATCGGAACAAATATCTAGGTTACCAAGCAACCCTCTGTTTATTTAATGTATACGTATCAATAATTTTTCGCAGAATAAAAGCAGAAAGAAAAGGGAGGGAAGGAGGGAGGGAGGGAGGGAGGGAGGGAGGAAGATATAGAGCAGAGGTCTTCAAACTTGACAACTTTTAAGACTTGTGGACTTCAAGTCCCAGAAGTGAATTCTGGGAGTTGAAGTCCATAAGTATTAAAAGTTGTCAAGTTTGAGAAACCCTGATATAGATAAAGGTATGAGGATAGGAAGGAAGGGAGGCTGATATTGAGGAAGGAAGGAAGGAAGGACGGAGGGAGGGAGGGAAAGAAGGAAGGAAAGGAAAGGAAAGGAAGGAAGGAAGGAAGGAAGGAAGGAAGGAAGGAAGGAAGGAAGGAAGGAAGGAAGGAAGGAAGGAAGGAAGGCAGGCTAGTCAGAAATATGATTATTTTCAACCTTCTTTTCGACAGATTATTACAATCTTATATAGTCTTTCCTCCCATCTGGATACTATATGTCTCTTCTGCCTGCTCATTTAATCCACGGCCATTTTAATCTTCAAATCCATAAATCATCAATTTGTGGTTTTCTTTTTTCAGCAAAAAAAAGTCTATATAAGCAAGTATCACACAAGATTCCCAGTCTTTCAGGAAAGCTTTTATTTTTATTTTTTTTCCCTATGGCCAAACGATGTCAGTTTTGATCTTACTACATTAATCCTGACATTTTCACGATCCACCATGGGAATTCCATTCCCCTCCCATCGTGTCCACAGTAATCTTGATGCATTTAACCTACACCCAATCAATTTGCCACGAGTCTCTTCTAGTTCATTGTCCATAAGTGCCAATAACAGGATTCCTTCGCAGTCCAGGTTAATTCTCAATTTACAAGCATTTGTTTGGTATCTACTACCTCTTACATTCATTTCATGTATTCATAATCATGTTTGTACTTTATATCTATTACCTAATTCATGCTTGACAAAATAAATGAATACAATAAATATACAGATAGTCCTCAATTTACAACAGTTCGTCCACTGTGTGACCATTTTTCACACTTACGACGGTTGCCTCATCCCCATGGTCAAGGGATCAAAATTCAGATGCTTGGCCACCGGTTTCTATTTATGACGGTTGCGATGTCCCAGGTAGTGTCATCCCCTTTTGCGACCTCATGACAAGCAAAGTCAATGGCCAGATTCACTTAACAACCATGTTACTAACTTAACAACTATGTGAAGAAAAGTCGTAAAATGAGGCGAAACGCACTTAACCACTGTGTTGGTTAGCAATGGAAATTTTGGACTTTGTTGTCGTCGTAAGTCGAGGACATCCTGTATCCATTCAACTATCCAGTGGTGGGATTCAAATAATTTATCAACCGGTTCTCTGCCCTAATGACCAGCTGGGTAGGCGTGGCTCAGTGGTCATGTGACTGGGTGGGCTTGGCCAACTCAAAGTCACTCAGATCGATGGGCGCTTCGCCTTAGCTGTGACAATGTAATAAGGGTTAACTGGAGAGGCAGTTTCTGTAAGCAGGGCAACAAAGATTAGGCTAGAAACAACACCAGAATGTTTCCTTCCTGCCTTCCTTACAGGATTAGCCCTGGAAAGTGGGAAAAAACAAAAGGAGATTTCTTCCAAGAACCGGTTCTCTGAACTGCTTAGAAAGTTACCAACCAGTTCTCCCGAATAGGTGCGAACTGGCTGAATCCCACCACTGCTGCGAACTATCTAAGAAAATGAAATTCAGTGGTGAAAAAAGGAAGCTTCTACATTTAGGCAAGAAAAACGAAATGCACAGGTACAGTATAGGTGGTGCCTTGCTCAGTAACTGTGAAAGGGATCTTGGAGTCCTAGTGGACAACCATTTAAATAGGAGCCAGCCGTGTGCAGCAGCTGCCAAAAAAGCCAACACAGTTCTAGGCTGCATCAACAGAGGGAGAGAATCAAGATCACGGGAAGGGTTAATACCACTTTATAAAACCTTGGTAAGGCCACACTTGGAATATTTCCATCCAGTTTTGGTCGCCACGATGTAGAAAAGATGTGGAGACTCTGGAAGGAGTGCAGAGAAGAGCAACAAAGAGGATTAGGGGACTGGAGACTAAAACATATGAAGAATGGTTGCAGGAACTGGGTATGTCTAGTTCAAGGGTCAGCAATCCACGGCTCTGGAGCCGCATGTGGCTCTTTCATCCCTCTGCTGCGGCTCCCTGTTGCTCAAATATGCGTCACAACCGCCAATGTGTGACACCCGCTGGAACGTGATTTCTTGAACTTTTCAACCCCCGGTAGGCCAAACATGGTTAAATCCAAGTAAAGAAAAGTTTGAGAAGAAAACAGAATTCTTAATTCAACTACATATATTAGTTTTGTGGCCACTCAGGAAATAGTCAGGCATGGGAAGGGTTTTGTGGCTCCCGGTGTTTTCTTTTCTGTGGGAAATGGGTCCAAATGGCTCTTGGAGTGTTTAAGGTTGCCAACCCCTGGACCAGAGTATAAGTCAATTCTTAATGTTGTGCAATGCGAAACTGAGTCACCAGGAATTAAGTCCCAGTTGAGTTAATTGTCAAATAACCGAGTGGAATTACAGAGAAGAAAGCTGCCGCCAGAGTTTGCATGGAATGGATGCAACAGCCAAAAGCGGCTGAAGACGGTGCCATGCCATGTGGGTGTGGGGTCCACAGGACTCAAGAGCTTCTATTCGATGATCAGTGTAGACCTCCAACCACCTACGAGACAAAATATTTATTGTATGACCAGCTGAAGAGTGAGAGCCAAATATGAGGCCGAAAGGCAAATTATATGTTTAACCATAAACGGAAGAAATTAAAAATAATAAATGTTCTTTGCACCTGGAAGGAATTAAGACCACCCATTATTTAGCTCTTAATTTAAGGATATCTGTATTTTCTTTTCCCTGTCCTCTCACCAGGAAGAGAAGCGAAAATGCACAGGGGGCAATTTTTTTTTTTGCTTTTTTGCCACCAATTTACACGCAGATTAAAAGGGCTCCAATTTGCTCCAACTGAAATGTGGGAGAAACGAAGACTCCAAGCAAGCAAATGGTAAAAATCATGATCCGTCGTAAGAGCACTGTTCCTGTTCCAAGCTTATCCAGAATCCTCTGGAGTGAGTAGCCCTATCAAATCAATTAAACTAAATGTTGCAAATATTTGCATTTGAAGAGCAAGGAGGAGGTGGGAGAAATTGTGTGGGGCAATATGTTGGCACTGTAAACTGCTTAGAGAGAGGGCTATAAAGGGCTATATAAGTCTAAGTGCTATTGCTGTATTATTATTATTTTTTTAAAAACCTAAACTCTCAGTCAACTCCCCATTCTAGCCGATAGCCCCGAGATTTCCTGGTGGTATTGTTGGAAGACATGTCCATCTGGGTTCAGTTCCAATCAGGGGTGGGTTTCAAAGTTTTTTAGAACCTCTTCTGTAGGTGTGGCCTGCTTTGTGGGAGTGGCTTGCCAGCCATGTGACCAGGTGGGAGAGGCTTGACAGCCATGTGACCAGGTGGGAGTGGCTTGCCAGCCATGTGGCCGGGTGGGAGTTGCTTGCCAGCCATGTGACTGGGTGGGCATGGCCAACTTGTAAAATGTGGTGAAACTCACTTAACAACGCTCTTGCTTAGCAACCAA